GATAATGGGTATTTCTAATTCAGAAAGTAATTTAGTGATACGTATGTATGTCTTATATTTGCTAGAAACAAATACATTCCAACCCAAATGTGACATTGATCCTGTCAGACAGCAGGTAGCAGCAATGACTTTAAAGTGCATACAGGGATGTCTATAACAAAAGTATGCAACCATTGCAGCATGTTGTTTCTATTCCCATGGTTTCCTCTTTATCATTGCATCTGCACAGACTACGCCACACTGTCATTTTGTCCATCTAAAGAGGGAGATTTATGGGATTAGTTTTGTATCATAAAGATAAAGCAACACTTTCTCAGAATAAAGCAAAACTATGAGTTTAAAAGAAAACAAAACTGAGTCAAGCAAAATAAAATACATTTCAAAAATAAAACTATAAGTTGCAAACAAATCATTTGTGTAATCATGTAAACTATAAGTCTTTTTTCTTTGTTTTAACATAGGATTTTGTTTGCAGTTCTTGTTTCTTCTTTCTCAATGATCAGACTTTTGCTCTCTCCTTCACTTTTTGTTTGAGATTCTGACACAAACCTCCCAGGTGGGCGGGACTTTCAGGGGTGCGTCCCTATTGGCTACTCAGTTTTTGAGTGACAGCCCAGTCCTCCAGCGATTGTACAGTGCAGGTGTTACCGTTTAACTGGTGGCGCGGGGAACTCGTGATATTCTATAACGGTAGGAATGTATCAGGGGCGTGTACTTTGAGGAGCCATTGTCGAATAACCAGGAAATACACATTTCGATCGCTTCTTCTGTCGTTTACATTTATCTTTTGGTATATTTGGCTGGATAGGAACATTTTGATGCACATTCAGTACCAGTGTGAGAGGTGGTTGCGATGCTGAAATCCGGACGCGTACAGTGAGGACTACAAAATGACAATGAGGTGACTGGGGATGTGTGTTCAAAACATACCAAGTCCATCTGAGACCTGTGTACACCTTCAGACAGCCTACAAGTGAAGCACACGTAGTTTACTCACAGTTTGAAAGCAGCGTGGAGAAGTCTTCAGCTGTGGAGCTGTGATCTGCCCAGTTTAATTGTGATCGGTATCACCTGCACTGTGCAATCGCTGGAGGACTGGGCTGTCACTCAAAAACTGAGTAGCCAATGGGGACGCACCCCTGAAAGTCCCGCCCACCTGGGAGGTTTGTGTCAGAATCTCAAACAAAAAGTGAAGGAGCGCAAATGAGAAAGCTGCAGCGAGATCAAAAGTCTGATCATTGAGAAAGAAGAAACAAGAACTGCAAACAAAAACCTATGTTAAAACAAAGAAAAAATACTTATAGTTTACATGATTACACAAATGATTTGTTTGCAACTTATAGTTTTATTTTTGAAATTTATTTTATTTTGCTTGACTCAGTTTTGTTTTCTTTTAAACTCATAGTTTTGCTTTATTCTGAGAAAGTGTTGCTTTATCTTTATGATACAAAACTAATCCCATAGAGATTGCCTCCCTTCATGTTTACAAGTGTCCTCTCCTGCTCGATACTGTGACTGTTTTCTATGCTATCCTCAGAGTACTGGGACACTATAACCATATACGTTATACCTCGCTAAAGCATGACCAGAGAAACGCTTAAGCCTAGCGAAAAAGCACATCCATACCACAGTGATAACAGCGAATCGTGGACTCATCTGTACGTAACCACTACTGAGCTTTTGTTGACTTTAAATAACAATCCAGATTTGTATAAATAAAAAAAACAACTGCGCATTAATATGTTTTATTCCAAGATAATGCTGTTTGTTATCATTAATATGAAATGTGCAACCCTGTTTCTTGAACTCCTAAGCATGTGGCTTGCATCAGTGTAATAAAGCAGATTGAATATTCATGATAGATGTGTAGGGGTCTATATTCTGACAATCACAATTACTTTATGAGTGTGGGTATTTTACAGGCATTCATGCTATTAAAGATGCACATATTTGCATAAATAACCTGTTTGCATACCTCTGTTGCGTTCGGATAATCCAAAAATCAGCTCCTAAATTCTAACCCTATTGTCTATTCCTTGACCTCTGAGTGAAACGTCACAGGGTTAAGGGATAGTGGATAGGAGAATTCAAAAGGATTTAGGAGAAGAGACTGCGGTACTTTAGAGAATCCGACTGCACTTTCACTATCCGACGCGTTTATGATGCGCCAGCGGACGTCATAAATGTGCGTCTGCTGCTGTGGGAAAACTATGGAAACTACAGTTTTCTATACAGCGGACTACAACATGGATGTATAATAAGAACGAGGGACTACTGTAAACTCATCTAGAGACTCTGCACCATGCTCTGATGCTGTTGCTTTATGCTTTATGAACGGGGACAACAGAGAAACATATTCTTCATGACCAAAGTTGGAATTGAAATAAAAAAGGAAAGTGAAACTTATGCTCGTCCCCCTCTCCCTCCGGTCCACATTAATACAAATGATCCCAATACGTATGATTGTATGAACTGTGAAAAGATCTTAAAATCAATACAAATGTATTTATTATAAACGTTAGTCCTTAACACTGTGTATATCACCATTCAAACATCTTTTAAAAGTTGAACAAACCCCACACAGCTCAGTAAAGACTGTGAAATGTTGACTTTATCTGATCATTGCAGTAAAAACTAACGTTCATATTTCTCTTTTTGATTATAATACTGATGAACGTTCAAAACAAAGGACTTTGGCAATGGCAAGTTACCACATACGTTTTAAAAAGCTTAAGAAGCACCGTAACTTTCATGATATCATTTCTCGGTCATAATCGGTTGTTTCCGTGAACGGCCGACTGTTGTGTGACGGCAAATGCTGCGGCCGCAAGGCATTGTGGGGCAGCATTTTCCAGTGGTTCCTAAGCTAAAGGAGGTTATAAAGGAAGTTTGAAACCTCCTTTGCTATCATCTAGAGAATTCGAACGGCACTTATCATGGCTGCCACTGAGGTACTTCCGGGTCATTTCACTCCGTTAGGAAGGTTCCTAAGCTAAATGGACTATTCGACTTCAGCCCTCGATTCTTTCTTTCTCTGATATGTATGAAAACTAACATTGAACTGTGAAAAATTATAATTTTTTGAATGCTTCTTTAATGTTGAATGACTTGTCTCCAAGACACCCATGAACACATCTCTGGCTAACACCGTTGCTTTTGCAGAAGTTAAAAATTCGGTTTTACGGATCTGCCAAACAAAGCACTTAACTGATTAGTTAAGAAGTTGCATGAGTGTCAGTCAACTGAGAATTAGATTTAGTCAAGGACTCGTAGATTTAACACTTGACCTTTGACCTGTTGCCTTAGTATCCGCACAAACGGATTGTCTGTCAAATGACAGTTTGAACTTTGCCGATGTTTTCTATTCACAGACAGTTTTGTGTCCCCCCCACTTCTCAAACCAAATGTACACCCTTGCATACGATACATACTGCTGTCATATCTGCCTGCAGTCCTATCTAGCACCTGAAATGAACCCAGGACCGTGTGCAGTCTACTGAGTGACCACCAGGGGGCGACAACACTCATTTAGAAACTGAACCATTCACAACAGGAAGTCCTCAGCATCAGCTTTAGAGCAGATATCAGTCTCATGCAAAAAGCCAGATCCCACACTGCTCTGGTCACCTTGTACCTCTCACTTTATTGCCAGTAGACAATGTTGAAAATGTCCAATATTTTTGTTGTCTATTTAGTGGTGGAAAGTAATTAAGTACATTTACTCAAGTATTGTACTCTTTTTATGACACATTTTTATTTTACTTAAGTATTTCCATCTAATGATACTTTATACTTCTACTACACACTACATGTATATAACACTCTCCGATACTAGTTACTTTGTACATATATAAAACACATGATCTGCTAATATGGTATAATACAGTACTGTACTACTAATGTACAAAGTATTTAAACTATCCAAATTTGGTCCATATTGACCAACTACAATACTTAAATGCTCTTACATGTATAAAAACAGGATAATAATATAAACCATAATAATAAAATAGGTGAAAAGATCCAATGTGCATAATGAGTACTTTCCCTTTTGATACTCAAAGTAAATTTAGATTTGAATACTTCTGTACTATATTATTCTGTAATGGGACATTGTGCAGAATGAGCACTTTTTATACTTTAAGTACATTCTGATGCTAATCCTTTTGTACTTTTACATAAGAACAATTTAGAAATCATGACTTTTACTTGTAGTGGATTATTTTAAGACCATATTTGTACTTTTTCTTAAGTAAAGGATCTCGATACTTCTTTCAAAACTGCAAAGGACCCCTTATGTGTTTAATGTGCATGTCCCACTGAAATAACCTGACCTTGAATCTACTCTTTTACTATACATCTGAACGTTCTGTATTTTTCTTTTTTTTTTGGCAGCGAAACGTCAGGAAATCATCTCAAAATGCTGTTTCGTTTTCTTAATTCTAGCCCATTTTACTCTACTTGCTGTTAAATGGAAATAGTCAACATTAGTGATTATGTAATACTATTTTATGAACTCTTATGTTTGTGACTGGGAGACAAACAGCACATCCTGAAAACTACAAAACAAAAAACAACTAAACTAAATATTCTCTTACATTTCCCACCTCCTTATTGTTACCCCACATTGTGATTTATACATACCAGGCACAACTGAGCAAGTGTTGAACATTGGACAATACCAGCACAGTAGGTAAAAGTGAATTGAATATAACATGTTCTACTAGTCACCTTTTTAACATGGAAGTTGTAATGGGCTTACTTGAAAGTATTGAACAACAAAACAATATATTTAAAAAAATGTTTTTAAATGTGGTTATTTTTTAAATAAAAACACATTTGTAAATGTAATTTAACACAAAAGTAGTGACCTTGGGCGTAGGCTTACAGCATCATAACCAAAACATGTCACATGAAGAACCGGTTTGTAATTGAAGTCACAAGCAAACATTGCAAGGATTTCCCATAAACCCAACTTGATTTTCTGGTTGCACCTCTGCAGTGTTAGTTGAGTCCGGCACACCAAGCTCGTAGAAACAGCCTGTGCAATTTGTACTACACTTATCTGCGACAGACGCAGGAATTGTCCTTTAGTTTCCTGTTTTCTATTACCTTAGGCGACAAGAAGTCATCATCATGAACTCTCTTAACCAACAGTATGAGGAGAAGGTGCGTCCCTGCATCGACCTCATCGACTCTCTTCGCTCTCTGGGTGTAGAGGAGGACTTGGCTCTGCCTGCTATCGCCGTCATTGGAGACCAAAGCTCGGGGAAGAGCTCCGTGCTGGAGGCGCTGTCAGGGGTAGCTCTACCAAGAGGAAGTGGTAAGTTAAATAAATAAAAAACACTTTGCTTCTGACTTAATAGCTAGAAATAAAAAGCGTTGTCATAACCATTATTAGACATTAAAGGTCCCCTATTATACAGTTTTTCATCAATATATTATAGGTCTCAGATATATACAAAACATGTCTCTGAAGTGTTTGGCTAGAAATACCAAACAGATCGTGCATTGTAGCATCCCATAATCCCCTCTGTTTCAGCCCTGTTTCAAAAGTGCTGATTCTCTGTCTGTTACTTTAGATGAAAATAAGGAGCCACTCCCCACGCCCCTGGGGGTTTTCCCCGTACAGTTCCAATAGTTCATGAGAACTTTTACCCCCTTTTAAGTGCCTGCTAGAGAGGTGGCACTTTCCTGGGGAGAAAAAAGTTATTGGTTACCTTGGTTGATGATTGGCTAATGGTTACACAAGCCAAAAAGTCGTTATGACATCATAAAGTGGCCAAAATCTGAACAGCTCATTTTCAGACAGGTTTTTATATAAATGGATCAGGACAAAAAGTGAGCGATTCTTTTTTCCTGAAACTTTCAGAATCTCTTTACACAGAGGAGACACATGTTGATGTATAAAAGACATGAAAAAGTGGAATTTGTATAATAGGTGACCTTTAACTATTTACCCATCGATGAGGCCTAACTATCCACCAAATAAAAAATGACACAATTAAATAAACAAAGAGTATAACAAATAACCAATTACCATCCTCACTCTCCTCACACAACCTCTAAATCATTCTCTCTCACTATTACTACATTATATCTCAATAGCAAATTGTTATTTGCAGGGAACTTGATGACACTAATCAGGGCCGGTTCTAACCCATTATCGCTGTATCAATAGAGTACCCAAGGAATACACAATAGAAAATATAAAAAATTAATGAAAAATCTCTACAAAAGACCAATACACTACAAAAACAGAAACGTATTGACATAGGTAATATACATCAATAAGGCTTCAAATGTATTCAGTATTGTATGAACATGTTTTAATTGGGGTGTGGACGTCACATCCTCTAGGGGGGTCTGGGGGTATGCCCCCCCGGGAAGAAATGTTTGAACATTTTAAAGTAAAATGCTTCAATCTGGTGCACTTTGAGCACACAATTACTAGAGACCTGATCTAGGGGGTACAACTCTAAAAACCCATGTGAAAAAGATCGGTTTATATTTTAATAATCAAATTAAAGCATTAGCGTTAGCCCCGCGCACCAACGGAGAGAGAATAACTTCTGGCAACACAAAAAAAAACATTGGAGCGGTGGAGTGATGAGGAGGTGTCGGCGTTCTGGCGATTTACTCGGAAGGCTTCAGTAAAAGTAGAAGTATGTGAACATAACCAATAACCTACCATAGTCAATAACAAATAAATGTAACTTATTTTATTTTTGTTGTTTATTCATATCTTTTTTTACCTAGTTAACATTTATTTAGGCATATTTTGTATTTCTCCAGTTTAAACGACATTTTTGGTTTACTATCCTATAGTAGCCTATACATTGGAATGATTTCAAACCTGTTCATCCCAATCATTATAAAGGTGTGCCTTGGAAATATTTGTTTACATAAATTGTGATCAAAATGTTTGAGACCCACTGAGATAACTTAGACTAAAGTTAACTATCTAAACACTGAGAGAGTCCTTTACCTCACTGAGCCTCTCAGTCTGACAGGAGAGAGCTCTCCTCCACGTTGTTGTAGAAACATCTACTTCTTATAGAGTGGCGAAGTCCCTCCCCTTCCGGTGGACCTCCATGGGACCTTATTTCGGAAAAATTATGTATTGAAGTCAATGGAGAGAGAAAGATTATCTTTCGATCCCGTTTGAATTGTGCCACGAATTACACATATGATGTTTGTCAATTTAAAAGATAATTTTGCAAGTCAAAAAAAATAAAATGTGTCGTAAAACTGTGAAGTAACACATTTGTTTGTGTTGAAACGCTCAATGAACTACATCTCTGGTCAACAACACACGTCACCAAGATGGCCGTCACTACTGTCTTGTCAACAAAACGATTGACTACCCTATCACCACAATGAAACACGTCCAGAAGAATGTCATGCAAAGCTGCCTGCCTGCCTTCCTTTGATTCTCTCTGAACTGCCTGGTCTTTTTAATTTCAACCATTTGTGCAGATAGCATGAAGTAGAAAAGATCGCCGATCGCCGATGCTAGCGTTAGCGTTAGCATTTCTCCCCCGGGCTTAAATTGTGTATTATAGAATGATCACACCGGTGACAGTACTCTTCAAAGGGTTCACGAAATATGACTACTACTCTTACTGTTTAACATTTTGGGTTACTTAATGTTACTTCATGTTAAGGCTAATACAAATGACAAGGCTGTAATGCTAACTAACGTGCTAGCTACTAGCTAGGTAGCTAACTTGATCAAGCCACTCCTGGTCCTTTCATCAGACGGGAAGCAAAAGAACGAGCAAGACCCATTGCTGGTATGAACAACCTGGTACTAAGCACACAGGCATCTTGTTAAAGTTATCTTATCTTAGCCAGCGCCATATAGATAGATTATATCTATATGGCGCTGATCTTAGCTATCTCTTAGTGGAGGAAAACAATTGTGACATCACTTACGCGACTCTGGGATTTGTAGTCTTTCTAGTTGCGTATTTTTCATAGTCTTATATTTCAACAGTTTTACGACAAATTGTGACTTTTTTGACATGGAAATTATTTTTTAAGATTGACAAACATCATATGTGTAATTCCAACACAGTCTCACGGCATTTTGTGTTATAGTCACGAAATTAATCTATTGAATCGTGTTCACCAACACGATTTCACCATTTTTTTCGTGTCACACAGAACGATTTTAAAAGCAATGTAAATAATAACAAATTAGAAGGAAAAACAGATTAAAAAAAATACAGATTTCAGTATTCTGACACAGAACGATTTTAGAAGTAATGTATTTTATATTGGTAGTGTGTTTCGTGCCTGCACCAAATAATAATAAATTAGAAGGAAAAAAAGATGACAAAAAATACAGATTTCAGTATTCTGAGGCTCTTTGCCCCATTTCTTTTCCTCACTGACGGCAAAAAAACTCAGACATTATTCAATTTAAAATAAAAGGGATAGGGTTAGGTTTAGGGTAAGATATTGAGTAAGAAAATGTTTTTATGAACCACACAGCTTCTGGTCTTCCAAGACCCGACCGGACAAAAAGACGTGGTGCAGGCACGAAACATACTACCAATAGAAATACATTGCATTTAAAATCGTTCTGTGTGACACGAAAAAAAGGTGAAAATCGTGTTGGTGAACACGAATCAATAGATTAAATTAATTTCGTGACTCTAACACGAAATGCCGTGTGACTGGGTTGGTAATTCATGGCACAATTCAAACGGGATCGAAAGATAAGTTTTCTCTCTCCATTGACTTCAATACATTATTTTTCCGAAATAAGGTCCCATGGACCGGAAGTAGATGGGCGTGACTTCGCCACTCTATATCCGTTAGAGCAGCTAGCACCAGATGCTAATAACAACAAGCCCCGGTACCGGTGCGGCCGGGTCTCTCTCTCTCTCCTCTCTATCTCTCTCTCCTCTCTCTCTCTCTCTCTCTCTCTCTCTCTCTCTCTCTCTCTCTCTCTCTCTCTCTCTCTCTCTCTCTCTCTCTCTCTCTCTCTCTCTCTCTCTCTCTCTCTCTCTCTCTCTCTCGCCACGCCCACTCGCACTTCGGCTGTGAGCTGCGGGCGCCTGAAAAGCCAACATCCCCCTCTTTCATCACTTAGCCTACAGCGCCCATCGTACAGGGCAAACGAAAAGTGTAACCGGGGTGAAAAGGGTGTTACATTTACTTAATTATGAATGTTGTTACATCGAGGCCGAAAATTAGGATGAGCGCCAACAGTCAAAAATGTTTTTTTCCCTCCCGGAGCTACCAGCGCAACGCCCCCCCAGATCTGGCGCCCTATGCCAAAACCGGCCCTGATACTAATAATATACAAGCTGAAAGGGAGAAAGCGTGGAGTTGAATGAATCTTGAGTTCCCTTTTATTCAAAGAGTTCCTTTTGACAAGATTAAATTATTAGAGATCCTACTATTTATTTGAAAGGATTTCTACTGTGAGCTTCTTTTATCATTTCCCAGAGAACTCCTGGATTTAACTTGTTCTTCCCTGTCTCTGTATTCACTTTACGTTAATTCAGGCATTGTGACAAGATGTCCCCTCGAACTGAAGATGAAGAGAAGGAAAGAAGGAGAGGGGTGGTACGGGAAGATAAGCTACCAGGACTTTGAGGAAGAGCTAAAAGACCTTGCAGGTGTGGAGAAGAAGATTAGAGAAGGTACAGTATACACTGTTTTACTATCAATGTCACTATCCAAGCCAAGTATTGATGAAGATTGAAGGCAGTTTTATTTTCTGTAATAATCACATCCATCCTTAGATATGATTATACATTGTGTCTTCTCTCTCCAGCTCAGAATAAAATAGCCGGGACCGGGTCTGGGATCAGTCATGAACTCATCAGTCTGGAGATCGCCTCTCCTGATGTTCCCGACCTGACGCTCATTGACCTGCCCGGCATCACCAGGGTGGCTGTAAAGGGACAAAAAGAAAACATTGAAAATCAGGTATGCTAGACCTTACTTTGGTCCAGAGACAACTATGGTACTCAAAGATTAATCCTCAAATGACTTTGGTGTTCCCAGAGTGCTCTGGTGCCAAAAACACTTAACAGGTTACATGTCCAATTCCCCAACACATCCGTTCATGGCAGAAGACCCCAGAAGTGGAAGCATTTTCTCCCATGTTATTTGTTGTGGACAAATCAAATGACAAATAACACTCATCACACTGTTGTTGACCTCTGGGCAAATTGGCTTCATTAGAATGATGTCCTATCGTAGAAATACATATAAATACAATTGATTTAACAAGTTGTAATCTAACCTAACTGTAACACATACATAGTGAACAACTTACAATTAAAGGGGTGCAACTGCCATACCAGGATGTGATGCAGCTGGTCAGGATACTCTTGATGGCCTGTAGAAGTTGCAGGGTATCCTGCAGTCCATGTTTAACCTCCACAACATTTGGAGGAGGAAAAGCCGCTCTTTAGCTGTCTTTGGGATGATCCTCACTGATTTAAACGATTATACTTCACATGATATGAATTCATACTTTCAGATAAAGAGCCTGATCCAGAGGTTCATCACAAAACAAGAAACCATCAGTTTGGTGGTTGTCCCCTGCAATGTGGACATCGCAACCACAGAAGCTTTGAAGATGGCACAGGAAGTGGATCCTGAAGGAGAGAGGACTCTGGGTAATAAATACCTTGGATTATTAAGAATGATTTGGATTATTTTGTACGAATGTGTAGGTTATTGTAGGTTACAATATATATATGCTGTATATATAATGGAGTTGTGTTAGTGGTCTTATATTCAGAGTAAACAGATTAAAGTTGTACATTGCAAAGTATCATTGGATCAGGTAATACTGTACATCGCAGACATAAGTTCCACAGTTTGTCAAGTAATGAGTTTGAACCAACCTTAATTGACCAATGAGGATGAGGTTTATTGACTAAACCGAGTTGTACTCTTTTTCACTCAAAACTTGTATGTACTTTTGTAGGTCTAAGTGGATTCTCCCTCTCTTTCTCTTTTAGGGATCATGACCAAGCCTGATCTGGTGGACAAAGGCACAGAGGATTCAGTGGTTAAAGTTGTCCATAATGAGGTTTTCCCCCTGAAGAAAGGCTACATGATCGTCAAGTGCCGGGGTCAGAAGGAGATCAAAGACAAAGTGTCTCTTACTGAAGCGCTAGAAAGAGAGGAAGCCTTCTTCAGCGAACATGCCTATTTCAAGTAAGCTAATTATTTTTTAGGTACTAATTACAACGATTAGCGGTTTCACTGGTTAAGAAGGGTTTAACTTTTGCTGTAGGACTCTCTACGATGAAGGCCATGCCACTGTTCCTAAACTGGCGGAGAAACTCACTCTTGAGCTGGTGCATCATATCAAGGTAACTAGTTTGTTGTGCCTCACCTTTATGGTTAACTACAGATTGCTTAGCCCTTTTCAGATGTTACTGGTCTTAACCATGTGTGATTTGTAGAGATCTCTGCCTCGACTGGAAGAACAGATAGAGAAGAAACTTAAGACTACTCAGGCAAATCTGGACAAATGTGGCCATGGACCCCCACCAGACGCAACGGAGAGGATTGGTTATCTCATTGATGTGAGTTTACCAGCTGACAGTTTTCAGACTCACATTCTAGATAGAGTTAATAAAGCTTAATAACTAGCCTTATTTTATATCTAAACTCGTCATATTTCAGAGAGTGACAGCATTTACACAGGATGCCAGCAGTCTCACCACAGGGGAGGAACTAACATTTGGAGGCAGGCCAAACGTCTTTTCCATTCTCAGGAAAGAGTTTGCTGCATGGAAAGATGTCATAGAGGACTCTGGAGTAACATGTAAGTGCCTTATCAAGTTGGTCAGTATTACACTTGTAATGTTCCCATACTCCATATTGTAAACCTTTTAATAATTTAAAGATGTATTTTTACTTTTATAATATTTTCAAAATAGCTTTAATAAATATTTCTACACTGTAAGAAACGTACTGTGAAATTCACAGTATTTAACTGGCAGCAATTGACAAGTTACTTACTGTAATTCATTTTACAGTAAGTAACTTGTCAATTGTTGCCAGTTAAATACTGTAAAATGAATTACAGTAAGTAACTTGTCAATTGCTGCCAGTTAAATACTGTAAAGGTATCACAGTATTTACAGGTTTTTATTAACAGTAACAGTGTAAAATGAAACACAGTAACTTCCAAGTACTGTATTTGTGTTTACGGTAATGGTGTTTTAACTGTAAAATGAAACACAGTAACTTCCAAGTACTGTCTTTTGTTACAGCTGTAGTGTTATAGCTGTAAAATAAAACACAGTAATTTCCAAGCATTGTATTTTTGTTTAAGGTAATAGTATTTTAACTATAAAATAAAACACTGCCATTTAAAAAGTACTGTATTTTTGTTTATGGTAATAGTGTTTCAACTGTAAAATAGAAACTTTAATGCTATCATTTTAAGTTACAGTATCAGTATTGTAACTGTAAAACAATTTATTATAGTATACTTCATGTCATGCTGGTAATTTACATATTACCAGAAATTCTTGACACCATTTTAAAGCTCACCAATAACTGCAGGGAGACAGCAAACAATACATTTTAACAATGTATTCTTAATTGTTGAACGGTATCAAGAACATGTATTTTCTTGTGCTAAATTATAAATATTTTCATCCATAAAACAATCGATATTAATATCCAAAAACATGGAGATTGCATTTTTAAAACAGTGGCGATAACAAAACACAAAAAATATGAAGCCATTTCTTCTGCCAAGCCATTTTAGAGACGTGCTGTAGTTGAAAAGGTCACGACCTCGACACAAACTGGAGAACCCAAATGCACGACCCAGAGACACAGTCTTGAATGTAACAAAAATGGTCTTTTTAATGTCATTGAACAGAAAATCCCTCTTAACAGAGTAAGTACTGGAATAACAAAATAAACGCTCACAAGGAGGAAAAAACTAAGCATAACAAAAAGAGAACTTAAGATAAACTTAAACTAACAAAACCTGACAAGACTGGAAACGATCCTCTCTTTGCTGAGGCCTGGCACGACCACACGTGGGAACAAACACAGGACAGGGGGGAGACAGGACTATTTAAAGTGGACCCATCATGCTATATTTAAATGATATATTGTAGGGCCATACCTATATAAAGGTATATTTATATGTTTCTGTTTTCAAAATACCAAACAGATCATGCATTTTAGCCATGCCTCATTTCGCTCTATGTGCTGTTTGCTGTCTACGGGGCTGATTCTGTGAGCTGCAGCTGACCACGCCCCCCTGCAGGAGAGGGGAGCCGTGCTCTGATCAAGTCAAGAGGAGGAGAAAAAGAGATCTCCGTCCTCCGTGTTTTATTATATAGAATCGTTATTCATTTGTTTTAAAGCTCAATAAATAACAAAGACCTTTGACCGGCACTTTTCAAATTTTGTCCGGAAGATTTAAACTTTAACGGACATCTTGACCGGCGAAAGAAACTGAAACTGAAACTCTGCCGCACGGTCCCCTTGTTCCTTGGAAGAGGCGGAGAGGTGGGTGTTTGTCATCTGCTGGTGGACTAACCGGAGAGAATTACAGTGCTTGCCTCGACGGGGAGGGATTGCATTGCAGCGGGAGCAAACGCTTGCCTCGGGGAGGGAGAAAAAAAGCCACAGCGGAGAATAAACAGAAGGGTAACCATGGTAACTATGGGCGGGAAGTCTTCTTCGCTGCTTTTGTGGCAGACTACAGCGCCACTTACAGGCCTGGCATATGTACTACAGCGTCTCCAGCGCTTTCGAGCGGCAATGGCCGGCCGTGGCCCAACCCCACATTCCCCATAATAGGTGGAGAGTTGGCCCAATAGCCGTAGCGCCACTTCTGTGACGTCATTGAAGTGTTCAAATCTGGATCAGTTTTTATCAGATCCGTTGCAGCCCCTTTTTTAGAGATTTGGGTATGGAGGAAAATAGAGAGGGTTGTGTTTTCTGACACTTGGTGAGTTCCCTGGAACACCGGGGACACATATTCATGTATGAAAGACGTACAAAAGTGCATTTTGCATGATAGGTCCCCTTTAAACATGAGGTGAGTGGGAACAGGTGGAAACAATCAGGGGCGGGGCAGACACTGACGATGGCGAGAAAACACACAAAGGGAGGAAGTAACAGGGCCTGAAATGAGAGAGGTAAGTACAAAATGAAACAGGAAATGGAAAACGAGACATGAAACACGGGGACTTAACTAGAGAGGAATGACATAAATAGACAGACCTGACATGACGTGAATAAACATGAACTGACTAAACATGAAATGACAGACATAATACATAAGCATAACTAACACATTTGACGAGACACAACAAAAGGCACTGTTTGGCAAATACATTATCACTATTCTTAGATAATACACAATATTTTAAAACACTTTGAATACAAACAACCAAATGCATGCAGGAATGGACCCTGTACTGAACTTACAAACCTTACACCTGTAAGACATTTTGATTACATAAATGAACTGACAAAATTGTTTGTATTAATTACTTTCTTTGTCTCTTGAGTTACCGTGGCTGTTGGGGGAGGTTACTTCCTGGTTCAGCAAAGTGTGTGGCCAAGCGCTGAGGACTCCTAAATACTGCAAGGAGCCAATTGGGACAGATTGGGACAAACCACCTGCTTCCATGTTAAAGGGGGGATTTGGGTTTTTGTCAGTGTCCTTTGTGTTTTCTGTTACTATTAATTATCCCTTGGTTTCAACTTGGTTTGGCCAAGCCACTATATATAGCCACAGGTGCATCTCAATAAATTAGAATATCGTGGAAAAGTTAATTTATTTCATTAAATCAATTCAAAAAGTGAAATTCATATATTATATGGATTCACTACACACAAAGTGAAATATTTCAAGGCTTTATTTTTTTTAAATCTTGATGATTACGGCTTGCAGCTAATGAAAACCCCAAAATCATTATCTCAGAAACCGGAAGCACCACAGTTGTAGTTCTTCCGGTTTGCAAAGATATAGGGTCTTAAAAATATATATCTACTAAGTATATAAAATATCTAGTATAGACAAACTAGTTATTACACTGCATCAAAATTATGTATATTAAGAAAAAGATGTTGGTTTATTTAAGATATTTGAGATATTTCTAGACATTCTAGAAATGGCGTTTTTCGGTTGGTTCTTTCTTTTTTGGTTACTGTGATCTTCTACAGAACATATACTGTGATCTTCTACAGTACATTGTTGGTTACTGTGAATATCTACAGTACATTGTTGGTTACTGTGAATATCTACAGTACATTGTTGGTTACTGTGATCTTCTACAGTACATTGTTGGTTACTGTGAATATCTACAGTACATTGTTGGTTACTGTGAATATCTACAGTACATTGTTGGTTACTGTGAATATCTACAGTACATTGTTGGTTACTGTGAATATCTACAGTACATTGTTGGTTACTGTGATCTTCTACAGTACATTGTTGGTTACTGTGAATATCTACAGTACATTGTTGGTTACTGTGATCTTCTACAGAACATATACTGTGATCTTCTACAGTACATTGTTGGTTACTGTGAATATCTACAGTACATTGTTGGTTACTGTGAATATCTACAGTACATTGTTGGTTACTGTGATCTTCTACAGTACATTGTTGGTTACTGTGAATATCTACAGTACATTGTTGGTTACTGTGATCTTCTACAGTTGGGACATTACTACTGCTATTTCTACAGTAACTCCAGAGTTGCTGTAATTTTTGGTTGGAAACACGGTATTATACTCTAAAATGGTATACAGTAATTTACTGTGCACAAACACTGTAAATACCTGTGGATTTCACAGCCATTTCTTACAGTGTACATTTGCTCCTTTTCTACAACTTACTTCCTCTGACTTCGTTTATGTATGCAGCATTATACACCAAAGCAAATTCCTTGTGTAAACCTGCATGGCAATAAACCTGTTCCTGATTCTACAAAGCTGCTAATTAATATATTAAGTAAATCATTAAGCTAGATAATGAAACATTGCCATCTCCTTTTCACTTTATGAAGAGACTTATGAAGTGAAATTATGTCTTTCTTTCACATATTCATCTGTATTGCAGTCAACAGGAACATTGAGAAGGAGGTGAATCAGTATGAACAAAAGTACCGTGGAAGAGAGTTGCCGGGCTTCATCAACTACAAGACGTTTGAGGGCATGGTCAAAGAGCAGATCAAACGGCTGGAAGAGCCTGCTGTACTGAAACTCAAGGGAGTAACAGGCATGTCTTATCATGATACTTGCAGACCACCTGAAAATGTGAGACCTTTGAGTTATTTTAAATTGATCTGGTATTGTCTGGATTTTTATTTTACATCAGAAATTGTGAAGAAGGAGCTGTTAGAGTTGGCGCAGAGCAGCCTCGTTGGACTTCCCAACCTCATCAGAACAGCCCAGGTATCAAATAAATTGCAACATTTGCAACTGTACATTGTTGAATGTTTACTGACAAATGTGTATGTCGTTCAGATGAAGATCGAAGCCATCACAAAGGAGAAGGAGGCTGCTGCAGAGTCCATGCTGAGGACTCAGTTTAAGATGGAGATGATTGTTTACACCCAGGACAGCACATACGGCAAGAAGTTAGGGAAGAGGAAGAGGGAAGAAGAACAGCCTGCTGCGTCATTCTTTCGTGCACAAAAGAATACTGTTGTGCCATCCTTTTGTTCACAAACGAATCCGCTCGGCATCAGTACTGTAAACAGCAGTAACAGTGGGGCCACCCTTAAAGAGATGCTCAAACACCTTGAATCCTATTACCAAGTAAGTGATATCCAGTGTTGAGAAGTACTCAGATCCTTTACTTAAGTAAAAGTAAAAAAGTATTAGCATCAAAATATACTTAAAGTGCAAAAAGTAAAAGTACTCATACTGCACAATGTCCCATTTTAGAGTAATATAAAGAAGTTTTATCAGCTAAGTACTTCAAGTATCAAAATTAAAAGTTATTGGTGCAGGTTCTTTTCAACAGTATTATATTTTGTTTACTATATTATCCTGTTTTTATACATGTGAGAGCAATATAGAATTGGTCAATGTGGAGTAATTCAGATATGTGTAATACTGTGTAGATTAGTAGTACAGTACTGCATTATACCATATCAGCATATTATGTGTTTTGATATATGAGTGTATACGAGTGTTAAAATACATGTATTGGAGTAAAAAGCTCAATATTTGCCTCTGAAATGTAGCAGCGTAGAAGAATAAAGTAGCATTAAGTAGAGTACAAATATGTCTAAATCTAAATGTACTAGTTACTTTTCACCCCTGGTGTTATCTACATGCAGTACTTTTTATTGTTCTGCCTCGCAAATGTGATACATCAAAATATTGCACCTACTATATAAAGATGGAAAGAAAAACATCATGCATTTGAATCTGTACCCCCCCAATTAAATGCACACTTATTTGTTAAGTGTTTTGAAGGTGGCTTTTAAACATCGTGTTATATCTAGGCTACTTGTTTCTTCTCCAAACTAAAGATTGCTGGCCAGCGTTTGGCTGACCAGATCCCGCTGGTGATCCGCTACCATGTGATGCAGGAGTCTGCCCTCCAGCTGCACAGGGAGATGCTGCAGATGCTTCAGGACAAGGAGAAAACCGAGTGCTTGCTTCAAGAGGACTTTTCAATGGAAAATAGGAGAAGACAACTTCAGAAACGCCTGAAGCGCATGTCAGGGGCCCGTGTTCTGTTGAATGACTTCAGCATGAACATATACAACTTCAACACAACCCAAGTAAAGCGCAAACCTTAAAATCAGATTCCTGATGGAAGAAGTTAGTTGGGTTTTCACATTCATCACATTTCTTTTCTTTTGCAGATTTGTGATATTATTAGTCACTTAAGCTAGAACAGCAAGTAAAATAAAGAGTGGCTATTGATAAGTGATCCAATGTAATATTCTTATTCATTATTTGCCTTTTAATTAATTTTGTTCATAAATATTATGACTTGTTATTCTTCTTCATATTATATATCACTTACATGTTTACTCTTATGTTCTTGTTGAACTTGTGTGAACTCTTATCTGCACTGTCCTTTGTTTCTCTCTTAATCTGTGGCAGCTTTAACACCTGAATTTCCCTACGGGCACCAATAAAGGTCTATTTTATCTTGTCTCATTTTCATTCAACTTTCGTATTGCCTGAATGTCATGCCACAGATACAGTAGTCTACATAAGGTCCAAAAATATTAAAATAACTGGCATGTTTGTTAAAGTGATCTTTTTCTTTTTTAGTAGTACAACTGCATGAAATTGCTTCACTGACATTGCTGTATGTCATAAAGAAAAGAACAGTTGTCATTTATAAGATTACAAATAATGTCTTATTTAGACTGAAGTGTCACCAGAAGACATTTGACCTGTTGCCTTGTTGTCCGCACAAACAGGGATTGTCTGTCAAATGTACAGTTTGAACTTTGCCGATGTTTTCTATGTTACCAGATAAACAAAAAATGTTTGAGAAAATAGACACCTCTGTCGTTCTCTTGTAGCTAATACATCAGAATCAGAATCAGAATACCTTTATTAGTGATAAACACAATACACACCAACTGTCAATTATTGTTTATATCTTTATCAAACAAGAACAATGTATACAAATAAGTTCATCTCTATTAGAGAAGAGATGATTTATGCCAGATTTAGCTATTAGCTAATTTCCATTTGCAGACATAAAACATGAAATAATCTCTATTACACTATCAATTATACAGACGGATCAGATACAGACCACTACAATGTAAATACCAGCATGTGTCAATACAATTACAATATTACAATTAATTTACATTAAAAACTCAATTTACAGTCAAGTTGATGCTGACGAGATGAGCTGCTCAATATCAATTTTTTTTTACTACTGGAAAAGAGCGAAAGTCACATTTTAACCTCAGCCAGAACCATATTCTAAGGCCACTAATTGTAAATATGTCATTCACGTAATACGTCAAACAATTACATAGGCTTTTATTTTGAAAGTACTGTTTGTCGTTTTAACTGACACTAATTTAAAAGTATACATACTGCTGTCATATCCACCTGCAGTCATATCTAGAACCTGAAATGAACTCAGGACCGTGTGCAGTCTACTGAGTGACCAGCAGGGGGCGACAACACGCATTTAGACACTGAACCATTCACAACAGGAAGTCCTCAGCATCAGCTTTAGAGCAGATATCAGTCTCATGCAAAAAGCCAGCTCCCATACTGCTGTGGTCACCTTGTACCTCTCACTTTATTGCCAGTAGACAATGTTGATCATTTCCAATATTTTAGTTGTTTTTTAGTGGCGTGCATATCAAACGCATGATATGCTAATATGGTATAATACAGTACTGTACTTCTAATCTACAAAGTATTTCAACTATCCAAATTTGGTCCATATTCACACCGGAGTACTTTTCACCGTACTTTTCGCATTTAGTTCCGTTAGTACCCCTCATGTCGCGTTCACACCATAAAGAGTAGGCCTACTTAATCTCGGGAACTTTTACCCCCATTTTTAGTGCCTGCTGAGAGATTGTACTTTCCTTTGGGAAAAAAGTGCCCCAGTTCTGATTGGCTGGGCGAATTGCAAACCGCGCCCCGTAAAACTCTGAAATGTTTTGTAAAGCCGCCATTTTATTTGCTCGCTACAAAAACCCAGCGCACCAACGGAGAGTAGTTTGTTTTGAAAGCAGTTATGGCAAGCATCAATATATAATCGAAGCGGTGGAGTGATGAGGAGGTGTCGGCGCTTCTGGAAATCTACGCCGAGGACGCGACCCAGGGAATGCTACTGAAGCCAGTTCAGTAGCTTTCACTCGACCTGGGAATCGTGCACAGCGCCACGGCATACCGGCTAAAAATAAAGAAACTCAGGCAGGACTACAAACAAATTAAAGACTATTATAACAAGAGTGGTAACGACCAGAAGACCAGTAAATGGTACGAGCGCTTGGATGCTCTGCTAGGCCACAGACCTTTTCTCCCGGACAGCATCGACCTTCGATTCGGGCACGATGGTGTGGGAGGCCGCTCAAACGGCGGATTCAGTGGCCAACGATGACGACCACGACGAAGGTAAAATCAACTACATGCACTGGGGTTTTAATCTGCACAATAATGGTCTCAGATGTACTTTTATTTGCTCAGTAGATCAAGCTAGCCATGCTAGGCTGAACTGGCTAACACCGGCCCCAAGCTAGCTACATCTAGCTAGCTAGATATTCTCGGCCGTATGAAAACGTTTTGACTTGTGAATAACTGTGCAGTGTTTCTGTAATTTGCTTCACTAACTCATGGCACTAATCGTGTGTTTCAGGCGAGGATGGACAACTCTGATTGGAAACAAGCGAGCTTTGCCTTCAAGATCACAGCGCTTGCTCGTCTCCCTTACCAGCAACCAAACGCAAAGGTACACACACTGTAACTTTGTCTTGAAAGAACGTTACGCATCGAACTGATGTTCACAATCATGTTTATTTCCTTCTTGGTACAATTATGAAACAGCGTGAAAACGTATTCGCCTAGACCGGCATTTACAAATGTTCGCGCCTTTTTACTCTCTCACAAACATTGTAAACATCCGGGCTAGAGGTCACATGACTTCCGGTAAGAAAACTTGCCTCAACAACATTAAACAAAGTTCAAGCATACATGAAGCACTCTTCAAAAATACAAAACAATAAAGAAGGGCACTTTGAGCGGCAGCTACACACACACACACACACACTCAGTGTGTGTGTATATATATATATATATATATATATATATATATATATATATATATATATATATATATATATTATGCTATTTGCTCCTATATTATCTTCTACTATACACCTCCATTGTGTACACTCAGTGTGTGTGTATATATATATTTTATGCTATTTGATCCTATATTATCTTCTACTATACACCTCTATTGTGTACACTCAGTGTGTGTGTGTATATATATATATATATATATATATTTTATGCTATTTGATCCTATATTATCTTCTACTATACACCTCCATTGTGTACACTCAGTGTGTGTGTATATATATATATATATATATATATATATATAAATATATATTTTATGCTATTTGATCCTATATTATCTTCTACTATACACCTCCATTGTGTACACTGTCCAATGTTGACTAGTAAACACATTCCTAGTATGTTGTAAAACTACATGGTGACTAAACAGATCTTGTATCTTGCTTATTTTCCCCTCTTAGGAAAGCGGACACGGGATGCGAATTTCTTTGACACCGTCCAGGCGTTGGAGGACCGGCGTGCCGTGGTGAAAGAGTTGATGTACGGGGATCAGATGGTGCTGTTCACCAAGGCCCAGGAAACGGAGGACAAGATGCTCACCAGATGGAGCACCAGGATGAAGTGTCGGTGCAGGATGAGCGACAAACCACTTTTCAGAATGGGTTTCTGGAAGTGCTTTCCCAGCTAGTGAAAGCCAACAGGTCTTCCTCCCTATAGTTGCCACTGTTAACAATGTCTGCTGCTGAGCCTATCCCTACACCTGGGACAGTTCATTTTGTATTGTTTTTATTAATACTGACACACAACTTTGCACTAAGGTGTGTATGCTGCTGTGCCTATCCCTACACCTGGGACAGTTTATTTTATATTATTGTTATTACTGTTATTATATAGTCTTGATACAACTGACACTTTATTTTATATTGATAATGTTAATTTACATGTACAACTTCTATTTTATTTACATTAAAAATGTGAACTTCTATTTACTGTTATGTCTTGAGAGTGCAATAAAGAGAACCTACATGGCGATTAAACAGATCCTGTATCTTGCTTATTTCTCCTGACACTTTATCTTTAGTGACCTGTGTAGCATCCTATACATCACATGTAAGTGATTATTCTGATACCATCATGTTTCATCGGTTATAAACTGGCGAAGCTTTATTTGTCATTTATTTATCATCATCATTTATCATTTTATCATTTATTATATCATCATCATTTATCATCATTTATTTACACAAATATGATAATTTATATCATTTTAAATATGATTTGACCTAAAACTAAATGTTTTTATGATTATCCTCTGAGGAGGACATGGGGATTTGCAAACTTTTAATTCCCCCCCCATTTTACACAACACAAAATGGAGTCCACTATGGGCCGAAACTAACATGTAGGTTTCCATAGTGTTTATGGCAGACGGATGCAGTGGGTCTCAGGAAGATATATAATAAATAATAAAGGTGGGTTTGCTGCTGAGCCTATTTACTGTGCATACAACACACCTGGCACAGTTTATTGTTATTATATTGCCACACTGTACACTATTGTAATGTTGCCTGTCTTGACTGGAAAATAAAAGAGAGAAACAAAAGCACTGTACAAAAGATCAGCTTTATTGTCAAAATGTTTACAATGTACAATTTACACGCTGTTCAGATGCCTCATAAGGGCTGTGCGCGTGTCTTGCCCCCCAGCCTCGGCAATGGCTGGCCCATCAAGCTGGGTTGCCGGTAAGGCAGTCCATTCGTCCCTGTACTCATCATTACTTTCACAAAGGTTATGTAATATGCAACATGCTGCCACCTGGATTTTGATCTTGTCCATCTTGCACTGTACTAATGGCGGCATTTCCACCACACGGTCGGCCTCGGCCTCGCTCGGTACTGCTAGGCCGCGTTGGGCCTTGTTAGGGGCCGGCTCACTTCATGCTGCGCTTCCATTACAGTTTAGGAACTGGGGTAGTTACTATAGTAACGCAGTGTAGGCGGAGCCGTGACGTCATCTTCAATGAGAACCCCAGAAAAACAACACAGCCGTTAGCTGTTAGCACTCAGAGCTCACAGCTCCTCATATATGTTCAGAAACTAGACAAAGGTTAAACAAGTACACACCACAGACTGCCTGTGTCATGGCGAGTACAGTCGCTGCTTTATTTATGTCTGTATAGGCCGTTGTTGTGAGTGTGGACGGTCGGAGCATATATTGAGTTAGCTTAGCCAATCTCCATCTAGAAAACACGCATTTTAAAAGGTTTTTCACCTGCCGTCTGTCTGCAAACTTGCCAAAGCATTAATTCATGGTTTTTACTAACCGGTATCAGTATGTTGTTACTTCGGCATCATTTTGAAACGT